GTAGTCCGGCAAGCTACTGACTATGCCACAGAGGCAGAGAACAACTTACACAATTCTGACTGAAAAATTAAAGTTAAGCTCAATGGGTACCAAAACTGTTGCACCCAGATCAGGTGCAGACAAGGGCAGAGCTTCCAACTGTAACTTCAAATAAGCAGAATCAAGGTCTGAAGGACATCTTTCAAGAATTTTAACAGAAGACATGTGACTTTACCAGTACAATCCTGAAGATAAAGCACAATCAAAGCAATGGCTACCAAGAGGTGGAAGTGCTCTAGTCAGAGCAAAAGCAGAAAGTGGAGCATGACCACACAGAGGCAATGACCACAGTTTTGGAGGGATGTTCAAGGCATTTTGCTTGCTGACTTTCTGGAGGGCCAAACAACAATAACATCTGCTTATCTGAGAGTGTTCTGAAAAAGTCACCTGAAGCTTTAGCAGAAAAGTGCCAGGGACAGCTACACCAGGGTGTCCTTCTCCACCACAACAAATGTTCCTGCTCACTCCTTACTTTGAACAAGGGCCTTCAGTTGTTTAGGAGTGATGGACTAAATGGCTGGTCTTGAGGAACCAGCAGATGGCGTAATGGTTATGTCACTGGACTCTCACATAGTTGACTGCAGTTCAAGTACTGGACCTGATGAATTAAAACTCACACCAGGCACGTGTGTGTGCATGCCCAAAATCCCGAGAAGAGATTTGCAGTCTGGCCTATCCCCCAGGGCCTGATTTTTTAGTTTCTGTCTCTCTGGTGAACTACAAGTGCCCTATAGCAAAAATCTCAAAAAAAAAAAAAAAAAGTGTCTTGAACTCGACAGGGCTTATGTTGAGAAATAAAGTTCATATATTTTATTTTTATTCATTTATTTATTTATTTATTTTGGAGAGGGTTTTGGCTATAGGGTGGATGCGCTCGCCAGAGAAACAGAGAGACAGAAAGCAAGAAATCACCCCCCAGGGGGGATGGCCACGCCGCAATCCCTTCTCCTCCGTTTTCCTCTCGGGATCTTGGGCATGCACGCACACGCACCCGGCGTGAGTTTTAAGCCACCGGGTCCGGGACGTGAACCGTGGTCGATTACGTGGGAGTCCAGCGACATAGCCATTACGCTAACAGCTTCTCCCTACTTTTATCTTTAATTCTATTTTTCTACAAACTTTTAGATGTGTCCTATATAATACAAATTACAAAATATCTGTTTTAATATCTCAGGTTTATTTAGGAGGCCATGATACCAACAAGAGATGCTCTATGACAGTTTCCAATAATTGACCATGTGGGAGTCCAGCGCCTTTAACCACCATGCCACTTCTCAGCCCCCAAAAATCGTGCACTCGCCGAGAGAGACAGAGAGAGAGAGTGAGATGGACTCGATGCCGCAATCCTCCAGCCTCCATAGGTTTTTGCCATAGGGCCGGCGCCACCACGCCCAGTTTCCAATAATTGAGAAATCTTGAGCTAAAGGCTGACTGTTCATCTGTATCATGCCTATATTCTCAATAAACAGAACTGATACATAATAAAAGGTACTCAGCACTTGTTGCTTAAATATGTGAAAAGACATTTTCTTTTTTCTTTTTTTTTTTCTTTTTTTGGAGAGGTTTTTGCTACAGGCACATGCAATTGCCAGGACAGAGAGAGACAGAGACAGAAAGCGAGAAATCACTGCCTGGGGGATGGCCATGCCACAATCCCTTCTCCATTCTCCTCTCAGGATCTTGGGCACGCACACACATGCACCCAGGGTGAGTTTAAGCCACCAGGTTGGGACTTGAACTGTGGTCAATGATATGGGAGTCCAGTGACATAGCCATTATGCTAACTGCTGGTCCCTGAAAAGACATTTTCTTAATCACTCAACCCAGTGAGACAGGGGCTGGGCAAGCAAGACAACAGTAAAAACCACAGCACCAAGCTGCCATGAGGCCAGTTAGGCTTCAGTACAGAGGAGACCCTGGGAACCACTAAAGATTACAGAAAGAAAAACTGTCACCAAGGAGCAAGCTCTCAGTCCTCTGTCTGCCAAATCAGAGGGCAAGACAAATCAGTGGGAGAACAGTTAATTCCCTAATAGATGTTTTAAGTACATTTGTAAACGGCCTCTTGTTTGTGAAAGGGTCTGGAACACGACCAAAACCCACAAACTCACCAGATCTTGAAGTAGGGGAATTCCACATTAATGCAAAAGCCTTATTCAAACACAAAAGTGCTCTACCTAAAAATAGCTCTAATTACTTTTTAAGACAAGTTTTGAAAATATTGGTTTAATTTTATATTGTTTATCTAAAATTACAAATAGTTACCCTCGCAGGTTTTGAACAATGAACACTTTTGGAAAAACCATACTAAAAGGCTCAACTGTCCCTTTAATGAGCTGCTCAATCCATTTGCCATAGATGTACATGAGCCAACAACTCTCAACCCTGTAGTGTGCCAGGTACCTACAGGCTCTGCACTCTAGTCCCCATGCACCCCATAAGAGGCCTGCTGCCCAGGGGTGTGGGTGAATATGGCTGTGTCTGAATGAATACATGACAGGGGAGATGAAGCAAGCAGGTTATAGTTCATGTAGATCACCTCCTGCTTCCTTAAAAATAAAGAGTTGCACCTGAAAAAATGGCACACTAACATACACAGTCTTTAAAAAATTCAAGGAAGGGCTTGGTCCCTTAGTGCAACAGTTAAATACTATACAGGGGAAGATGGATCCCACATGGCCAACCAGGGTTCAAGTCCCAGCCTTGAAGGCTTTGCACACATGCCCAAGATCCTAATGCTACAGATGGTTAGATGAAAAAGAACTGGGAAAACTAGACCCCAATGGGGGATACTTTCTGTCCTCTTCCTCTACCATCCTCGCTTCACACATATACACACCCTCTCGCACATAAAGGAAAATGCATACTATGAAAAACTATGCATGGATCTCAAAATTTGTTACGCCAAAATAAACTTGTACTTTAATTCTATTTTTTCCAGAATCTGTAGTCCACTAGCTGTAGGAAAGCAATGACTGACTATGGGGCAGGACTTGCCATTCACCTCCCTAACCACCTTGGGGATGAAAGATACATTATCACCTACATGAGCTATACGACAGATTCCAGAAACCTTTAGATGTAGAAAATCATGTGCATGTCCTAGGCCCAAGCAGCTGGGGCATAGCAAATTACCCAGGAAATGCTGGGTACTTTCTCTGGAAAGTGTTTACTGACATTTTAAAAATATTTTGCTTATTAAAAAATTCACTTTCCTCTATTTACCTAACCTCCACAGACAACATTCACCAGCAATTTATTTCCCAGAGGAACATGAATCTCATTAAGAATGATACAAGCAACTGGCAAATTCCAAGTTTGAGGATATCCTCAAGCCAGAGCACAGTCTTGTCCCAAAGTCTTCACTCATCCTGGCCTGCTCACCAGCCAGCATTCTCTGAATGCCGGCCAACAAGACCCAATGTGGATACTGTCTAGCTAACAGAAATACCTTGCTTCATGCACATGAAAACCAAGAGACTGATTAAGGAAAGACAAACTTCCTATTTTTTTAAGAGAAGTTTTTGCTGTAAGGGTGCGTGCACTCACCAGAGAGATGAAAAGCGAGAAATCACCACCACCACCCGGGGGGTATGGCCACACCACAATCACTTCTCCATTATCCTCTCAAGATCTTGGGTATGTATACACATGTGCCTGGTGTGAGTTTTAAGTCGCAGGGTCTGGAACTTGAACTGCGGTTGACTACATGAGGGTCCAGTGATTTAATCATTACACCATCTGCTGGTCCCAATTCCTAAATTTTACCTAGCCTTATGCTGCTGAAAATACATAAAGTTGAGACCAGCAGATGGCATAATGGTTATGTCACTCAGCTCTCACGTAGACAACTGCAGTTTGAGTCCTGGACCCGGCAGCTTAAAACTCACACCAGGGCATAAAAAGCAACCATGGATACCAGAGACAGTGTGGGAGGAGAGTGGGAGATGGCAGAGGGTAAGAGACAGAGAATCAAGGATAGAAAAAAAAGCAAATGGAAAATTATTTGTTGACGATAACACATATGTTGATGTGCTTAACTGAGCCAATACACAGTGTATTCTGGATGGAAAATCTCATTTTGTATGCTGTAATGATGTATAGTAATGACGTATAGTAATTTAAATTAAAAAAGAAAACTCACACCAGGCACGTGTGTAAGCATAACTAAGATCCTAAAAGGAGAATAGAAGAGAAGGGACTGTGGCATGACCATCCCCCTTGGGGGGTGACTTCTTGTATTCTGTCTCTCTCTGTCTCACTGGCAAGTGCACATATCCTATAGCAAAAATGTCTCTTAAAACACATCGAAAGTAGAAAGGAGAGAAGCAAGGGGGCAAAAGTCAGGCCGCACAACATTCCAAAAGTGGAGGTGCACTGTTTCTCTTTGCAAGCAACATGACTCTTACTGGGCTGTCGGATGGAGGCAAGAAACCAAGCTGCTCACCTTAGGATCAAGTCATATCTCAGGTCAGGAACAATGGAAAGCCTTCAAGCCCAAACAAGGCCAGCAGAAAAGGAGCAGGGGAAGAGACGAATGGGGAAGAGGAAGAGGATAAAATTTGTCCTGGCCCAAAGGCAAGGCAGGGCAATGCTGCTGAACAAGCCCAGTAAGGTCTACTCCATCTCTGAAGACCCCACTCTCACTGTTGAAATCTCAGGTTTTAGGGCTTTCTGCATGCCCAAGTCACCCATGCCATCTGAAACTACCTCACCAGGGCCCTGCAATATTCAAAAATTGTCACCTCAAAAACTCTACAATGTGATCATTTCTTCTGGGTCAAAGCTTATGATGTCTTCTGCTTTCAGAGGAGTGGCTAGTGCAGAGCTACGCACTATATGCATCACTTGACCTTGCCTTTCCCAGCTGACACCTCTGAGCATAGACACACAGCTAAATGCAATTCTTGGGTTTGATTTCCAGGAAAGTCCTAAAACTGAAACACATACGATTAACTTACATGATCAGTGCCTCCCACTCAAAAAAATTCTCTTCATTCATGGGACCTGAAGGAAAAGAAAAATTTCACATTTTTACTTTGAAGGCAACTCTGGCAAGTAAACATATATAATAAAGAAATAACTCTAGTACTTTACCTGCCACAATTCCTTCTGGAGGATTCAGTGTTAATTCTACAAAATTAAAAAGTAAAACCATCACCAAACAGAACAAATATTACATTGTAATCTTAACAAAACATCTTCACAAAGTACCTAAGACTATAAATTATAGAGCACATATTACACACAGACCAACAGTTTGCCCTAGTCCAGTTATAATTCTACAAAGACAATGCAAACAGTTCTTTAGACCAACAAAACAGACTTTCAGAGTTATACACCATTTCACTTTATAAATGAAAAAGCAAATAAAACGTGTAAACTGCCTTTCCAAACTACTCTTGCTGGGTAATTTGATTAAAACTCTTAAGTCTAATACAGGATGTTATCTTCCAACTAAATAGTATTTCCTGTCATTTTTGAGCAGACACGAATCCTTATGAATGTGACCAACTAGAAATATGTATGAAGCTGAGGCTGCAAATGCTCTTAGCATCATCAAATACATCAAAGCCGTTACAATGGGTTACCTGTCTACCTGCAAAATCTGTGAGCTCCCACAAAACCAGTATTATCCAGACTATCAAACTTCAGCACTGAAAATAAAAACAACAGGAGCAGTCGGCTACAGCGTTTCCCAGCAATTCAAGATTGGGCCCAGTTCTGCCACTGAGTTCTGCCACCAGTGTCATGTCAACTCCTGCCTCATAGTTTCATTCCCTTTACATAAGAGGCTCCAAAAGAAAGTCAAACCTATGGACATATCTGGAAAGGTGAGAAACAGAGGATAGGTGAAAGCCACAACAACAAAGGGCAGGTGCTCAGGTCAATAAAGCTGCCCTGCCTCAGCAAGAAGCTGAGGAATGGAAGGTGCTTCCATGAGGAGACAAAACAAATCCCTGCCAAATTAGTCCAAATCATAAGGACTAGAAAAGAAGAAACAAAGCTGACAGGGTTCACACATGTTATGCTTACACAGAGTGAGAAAGTCTAAAAGATTCTAAATAATCAGAAAAGTGAGTTTGGCAAAGTTGCTGAATGTGAGGTCAACATATGTACTAAATTCTATTCCTATATGTTCACAACTTAGAAAATAAATCTAAAAAGAAACACCAACTATAATAGAAGCATATAAAAGTAAATCTTTAGGGACCATCAGATAGCATAAGGGCTACGTAGCTGGACTCCCATGTAGTCGACCACGGTTCAAGTCCCAGATCCAGTGGCTTAAACTCACGACAGCCACATGTGCATGAGTGCCCAAGATCTTTTTTTTTTTTTTTGAGAGGTTTTTCACTATAGAGCGCGTGTACTCGCCAGATAGACAAAGAGAGACAGAGAGACAGAAAGCGAGAAATCACTCCCCAGAGGGGATGGCCACGTCGCAATCCCTTCTCCTCCATTCTCCTCTCGGAATCTTGGGCACACACGCACACACACCCGGCGTGGGTTTTAAGCCACCAGGTCCGGGACACGAACCGCGGTCGACTACGTGGGAGTCCAGCGACATAGCCATTACGCTAACTGCTGGTTCCCGAGTGCCCAAGATCTTGAGAGGAGAATGGAGGAGACTGCGGAGTGGCCATCCCCCATGGGGGTGATTTCTCGTTTTCTGTCTCTCTGTCTCTGTCTGTCTTCCTGGCAAGTACATGCACCCTATAGTAAAAAACTCAAAAAAAAAAAAAAAAAAAAAAAAAAAAAAATTTTAAAATAAAGAGTCTTTGGTCCAGGGGGCTTGCAAGTGGTATGGTGGTTAAGGGCACTGGACTACCACATGGAGTGGGGTATGAGACCTGGACCTGGTGGCTTTGTTTCTCTCTCTCTCTCTCTCTCTGTTCTTCTCTGGTGCAATTAAAAATAAATAATAAACAAATAAAATCAATAAAGTTAAAAATAAAAAAGTCTAGGTACATGCCAGCTGGTGGCATAGAGGTTAGGCAGCTGGATCCCACATGGCTGGCTGAGTAGTTCAAGTCCCACACTTGGTGGCTTGGAAAAATAAAAAATCATACTGGGCATGTGTATGCATGCCCAGAATCCTGAGAGAATGAAGGAGAAGGGACTGTGGTATGGTCATTCCCCTACGGGGTGACCTCTCCTTTCCTCCTCTCTCTCCCCTCTCCTCCCCTCTCCTCCCTCCCTCCCCTTCTCTCTCTTTCAAGCCCTATAGCAAACTTAAAAATAAAAGTCCAGGTACAAGATCTCTAGCAGAATAGAAAATGTTATAAACCAGAAAAGTTTTTTTTTTAATTATTTTATTTGACTTTGTTTATTTATTTAAATTTGACCAGAGAGGGACAGAATGGGGTGGGTGGAATAAGAGAGCAAGCTGCCAGGTCCTGGGACTTGAACCACGGTCAGCCATGTGGGAGTCCAATACCCTTAACCACCACACCACCTGCCTGCCCCCAATCAAGAAAAGTTTTAAAAGCTCTTAATAAATGGAAACATCACATCATGTCCATGGATTAAAACTCCAACAATATAAAATATCGATCCTCCTCAATCCAAATCTATCTATTCAATGAACCTCAATCAGGAGTCCAACAGGTATAAGGGACCAGCAATTAGCATAATGGCTATGTCACTGAACTCTCATGTAGTTGACCATGGTTCGAGTCCCAGACATGGCTGCTTAAACTCACGCTGGGTACGTGTGCGTGCGTGCCCACGATCCCTAGAGGAGAATGGAGGAGGAGGGATTGTGGCATGGCCATCCCCTGAGGGGGTGATTTCTTGCTTTCTGTCTCTTTGTTTCTCTTTCTGGCAAGTGTACGCGACCTATAGCAAACCCCCCCCCACACACACACACACACACACAGAGTCCAACAGGTATTCATTTGAATTTGACAAGTTGATTCTTAAGGTATACTAAAACACAAACAACCAAGAATAGCCAAGACTGGGCTGGCCCCATGGTCTAGTGGTTAAGGGAGCTGGATTCCATATGGCAAAGAGTACTGCTTAAAACCTAGCCCTGGGAACAGAAGGTGGTACACTAGTTAAGGCATTGGATATTCCCACATGGCCAACTTCAGTTCGAGTCCCAGACCTGATGGCTTGCTTTCTCACTTTCCTTCTCTCTATCTCATCAAATTGAAATAAATAAATAAATATAAATAAAATGACTAATTCTTAAAAAAAAAAAAAAAAAAAACTAGCCCCAGTGGCTAAAAAAACAGGCTAGGCATATGTATATATGTCTCCAAAATCCCAATAGGATAGAAAAATGAAAAGAGAGGAACTGAGCCATGACTACACCCCACTAGGGGGTGCTTTCTCCCTCTCTGTGCTACTCTCTGTGCAGGGGGAAAAAAGGAATGACTACACTCTTAAAAAAGAGCAATTTGTTTTCCATCTGCAAGTTATTGAGACTTCTTATAAAGCTACAATAATTAAGGTAACAAAGTTATTAAGGCACACAGTTAAAAAGACCAAGGGACTAGATCACAGAGGACCCAGGGCAGATTCATACTTGTGCAGACTGGACCTCACTCCAAAGGCAGTACTACTGAACAAAAGTGAGGGGAAGTCCCTTCCACAACCGATGCTAACCCATAAGATCCATATTTCAAACTTTCACAGTTTTATACCACTTACTAAAACCAAAACACAGGTTGAGTATCCCTTATTAAAAATGCTTAGGACTAGGGACCAGCAGTTAGCGTAATGGCTATGTCGCTGGACTGCCTCCCATGTAGTAGGCCGCGGTTCAAGTCCCGGACCCGGCGGCTTAAACTCACGCCGGGCGCGTGTGCGTGTGTACCCAAGATCCTGAGAGGAGAATGGAGAGGGGATTGCGGCGTGGCCATCCCCCTGGGGGGTGATTTCTCGCTTTCTGTCTTTCTGTCTCTCTCTGTCTTTCTGGCGAGCGTAAGCGCCCTATAGCAAAAACCTCTCAAAAAAAAAAAAAATGCTTAGGATTAGAAGTACTCCAGGTTTTAGAGTTTCTCAGGCTTTTTAATATTTACATATATGTGTGATAGCTTATGGATAGGACCCACGTCTAAAGAGAAAACCTATTTGTTTCATATATATCTTGTACACATAGCATGAAGGTAATTTTATACAGTATTTTTGTATTGCTGTATTTTGGCTGTGACCTGTGACATGAGGTAAGGTGTGTGTCCCACTAAATTTCACATGTTGAAATTGTAACCCCCAGGGTAATGGTATTGGAAGGTGGGGTGGGGAGTTTTGGGAAGTTATTGGATCATGAGGGATTTAGTGTCTTTATAATAATAAACACAGGAGACAGGGTCAGCAGGTGGCATGGTGGTTAAGGCATTAGACTGCCACATGACTGATGTGATTTAAGTACTGGACCCAGCTTAAAAAAAAAACACTGGATGTATGTGTGTATGTGTGTGCCCAAAATCCAGAGAAGAAGAATGGAGGAGAAGGGACTATGGCATGTCCATCTCCCCGGGTGTTGATCTCTCATCCCTCCCTCCCTCCCTCCCCCACCCCCTCTCTGTGATAAGCACATGCATCCTATGGCTAAAACCTAAAAAAAACAACAAAACACACACACACACACACACACACACACGAGAGATGTTCTCTCTCAAGGTCATATGAGGATCCAGGAAGGCCGTCTGTAAACCAGGAAGACAGCCCTTCATAGACAATAAAACTGCCAGAGCCTTCACCTTGGACTCCCCAGCCTCCAGAAATGTGAGCAATAAATGACTGATCTATGTATTTTATTTTTTTATAGTGGTCTGGACTACAACAACAGATAACAAATATGCATACGAAGAGATGCCTAATACTGTGAGTCATAAGGAAAATGCAAATTAAAACCACAGGTAAGAGATGGCTATCAGTATGTAAGTGTCTTTAGTCACAATGCAAGGCTAAAATTAAAAGGTTGAAAAAGGTTGATGAAACCATGTGTTGGTAAGTTTAGTTATTGGATCTCTCATGCTTCAACGGGGGGAATGCAGATTGGTCTGGTTACCCTCTGGTAAACAGTCTAAGCATTTCTAGTGAAAATGCTTAAAAACATATTTACCCTGAAACCCAGAAATTCTACTGGGTCTTACATCTCCACTGACTTACAAAATGTT